GTTCTCTGTTGTGTTTCTCTCAGCGGACGATGAAGTTTTGCGAGCAGCTGGCCACGGTCATCCCAAACGCCCACGTGTACTACAGAAAAGGTCTGCCGCTGAAGAGGATCATTCCTCAGTGCGTCTCCAGGGACTTCACCTACCTCATAGTCGTCAACGAGGATCGCCAAGTGCCCAGTATCCTCAGTTACAGGAGATAAACGATTAGAAGAATTAGAAGGACGTTAGAAGAAACCCGGAGATGAATTAAAAGTCTCCAATCTGAATTCAGAAAACTTGTTGAGCTGTTTTCTAATGTCCTTAACTGTTGCTTTAAGATGGTTTGGTTCTCTGTCACCTCCCTGATGGACCGACGGCTCACTTCAAGGTCAGCAGTGTTCGGCTACGCAAGGAGATAAAGGCAAGTCTGTTATCATTAACTAGAAATCCAACTTTACTAAATGTGTGTATATGGTCTCCTCACAATCAGCATTTTTTATGTACAATAACTTTATTATATTTAATGAAGCCATGCAAAGTTTCACCTTCATGCTGTGAATATTTTTAGAGTTACAGGCCCATGAAGTCCACAGAGGTGGATCCAAATAACTTCATCAGTACAGCAGATACACACATGAACATTTCATAGCTGAATTACACGAGTTGTGTTAAAAACTGCAACCAAATCGACTTACACTGAGTTTCCACGTGTCTGTCTCCTGTGCTTAATAAATTATGAGGCTCAGAAATGGTGAAAGAAAAACAAGAATTAAAAAGAGCTACATTTGGACCCACCTTTATGCACTTCAGGGGCCTTAACTCAGAACATATAAACAGAATGAAAGTAAAACTTTGCATAATTATACTAAAGTTAATGTACTAAAACCTCACCTGACTCTGAGGGAAGAAATCATAGACTTTTTAACAGAATGACCCTTTAGTATTTTTTGCCTAGCTTAGCTTTACGTTTTAAAGGCAAAGGAAACACTGAACGCCATCAAATAACCCCACAGCTTTTTTGTTTTCTATATTTAAAAACCTACACCAAATTTAACACCATGATTTTAGAGCTCCTCCCTCCCTAAGCTTCCCGTGTGATGCTGACATCTTGTGCCGCTTGCCCCTCAGAGACGAGGTAAAAATCCGACCGCCCACTCTCCCGAAGTGATCCTCAACAACTTCAGCACTCGTCTGGGACACTCGATCGGCCGACTGTTCGCGGCTCTCTTCCCTCAGGACCCTCAGTTTGTGGGTCGACAGGTCGCCACCTTCCACAACCAGAGAGACTTCATCTTTTTCAGATTCCACAGGTGAACATTTTCACTCCGAGCGCTGCCTAAAACTGGACTTTTGTGTGTTTTTCAAGAAAGTTGAGCTACATTTTGAGCAGACCAAATTAACAATCCGCTGCGTCTCTGAAGGTACATCTTCAAGAATGAGAAGAAAGTCGGTATCCAGGAGCTCGGGCCTCGCTTCACCCTCAAACTCCGCTCTCTACAGAAAGGCACCTTCGACTCGAAGTTCGGAGAGTACGAGTGGGTGCTGAAGGTCAGTCTCTCAGCAGCTTTTCTTTATGATGCTAGAACTCTTTAAATGCAGTTTTCCCTAACGTGGCAGCTTACACACCCACTGAAACGCTTGTAATTTTTTATACAGCTGTATTGCTCTGAATTGTAAAACTAAAAACAACCTACTTTGTCTGTTTCCAGCGCCATGAGATGGACGCCTGCAGACGCAAGTTCCAGCTTTGAAAACGCACCGACGTTCCCTGTGAGCAGATCGGGATTATCCAGGAAGCTGCAGCTGTTTGTGGACTTGCACAGATTGACTTTATAGCAGACGACTGCTGGCAGCAGTTCAACTTGGATGAGCTTGTGTTGCTGTCAAACTTTACCTGGAAAAGATTTTTTATAAAGCTACGTGCACGGTGCTTGTCTAGCTCTGGACTGAAGGTTGGAGATGTGCCACTAGAGGAAAAAAAAGAAAACAGCAGCAACTTCAGCGGTAACTGGGACATTTGCAGAGAGATTCCCTGAAAACTCTGCTCTGTTCAAAGTTGTATTGGCTACGGTCAGAGTGAGCTGCTCTGAGGGCTCTACTACAGCCAGGCTCTTTTATTTGTATAAACTTACTCAACAAAACCTAAATTAACAGTCAGATGGCGTTTATCACCTTGTTAACCAGGTTTTCTTCATCAGGATCTGATCGTCCCCCCATAAAAGAAGGCAAATCATTTGGCTTCTGCACAAAACGAACCAATCGTGTGCCTCCTACCTCAGCCGGAGGAACAGGTTGTTGTCATGGAGAAAATAAATATATAAAACATTATTTGGGCTAAACAGAAATGTTCCTGCAACTGGTGTAAGAGAGGAATGCTGGTAGGCTAATTGTCAATGCAGCTCCTTATTTCTAACCTAAAGCTGCACATCAGAGCTCTGAAACTGTAAATTTTATTCATTTAAATGTGCAGTTAGGTCTGACACGGTCACATAATAAAGGAGACGTGATAGTCACTTTCGTTTTGGCTCAAATCTGAGTTAAATTCAGGGTAATTGATTGAATATTCTCCGTGATAGATACCAGCAGACTGATGGAGTTGTACCTACTGTAACTGCACGTCTTCGCTCAGTGGGATTACAGCTCGGCCGAGAGTATCGTTGAAGGGAGACGCTTATCGCGGCCGATTTAAACCCCAAATACTCAACAGAAGGTAGCTGTGTGGCTTTAGTTACCATGGTGATGACCACCTTCATGACACTGAAGTTGGGCTCGACGTACCTTTTTAAGCCCTCAGGTCACAAGTCTGGTGCAAACACACACCTGTTGCATCCTGACCTGTGCGAGCGATGACGCAGCAGCGAATCAAGTGCAAAACTGTCTGAAAATGAGTCTTAAATTTCGTGCACACGGCAGCAAGATTCTCATCATATGTCACAGTTTTCTAAATGTGCATATTCTTGTTTTAATACAACCTGTAGGCAATTTTAAAATGTGGAAATGTCTTTTATTTGTTGTCAATCAGGCATGAAAAATGTACATTTTAAAAGGCACGTGTGTGTTTTGATACGGGTTAGTTGCTCCTCTGCTAAGAAGGTTAAGACACTTTTAGTGCTCCAGCAGCACCTGGAAATGTGTGGCGGAGAG